TTAAGGATGAAGGATGTTTAAATAACTGTAGTCAAATAAAAGTGGAGGTATGATGATGTTAACATAGTAAATATTTGAGTTAAGATATTTGAATTAACATGAACTATATTTGATAACAGTGGAAGAGATGCACAAAAACTTTTTGTAACCAGCTGATATACTTTTTACAATATATGTTTGTTTTGGAAATAAATAAATAAATAAATAATTTATTATATAAAAAAAAAATTTTTTTTGCAAAAATAAAATAAGAAACCAAAAAGCATCACACACATTTTGTAAAAACATCACTGGCAACCTGTTCTGAGTTTGCATACAATTCAGAGACCTTAATAGCCTCTAAAGGTGTTGCCAATTAAAACAGTTGAAAAGAGCTTATAAATGAAAGCAAAACCTTTATTTAAAAAAATCCCCTCCCAATACTTACAAGGTTGGTGATCCATGGATCTCAACCCACTTTGCATCATCACTCATCTGCCAACAAGAGATTATCCAATCCCCTTTCTGAAACAGAAACCAGATCAATACTTCTCCATAAAAGCATGTTTGTGGGGCAATAAGATAAAATAAGGTGGGGCATGGAATAATCATTGTTTTATCAAACCCAGCAACTTTAAGTTTTGTGGGCTTCAACTCCCAGAATTCTTACTTGCCTGCAAGTAAGCATAGTACACAAAATTGTCTGCTACAACATCCTACCTGTCAATGACTACTTCAGCTTCCACCACAATAATACACAGGCAAACAATGGATACAAACTCAAGGTAAACCGTTCCAAACTCAATTGCAGAAAATACGACTTCAGCAACAGAGGGGTCAACGCTTGGAATGCTCTACCTGACTCCATTGTTACATCTTCAAACCCTCACAGCTTCAACCTTAAACTGTCTAGTGTGGACCTCACCCCATTCCTAAGAGGTCTGTAACGGGGGCATGCATAAGTGCACAAGCATGCCTAAGGTCCCTGTCCTATTCTCCCCATCTATTTATATTCATTTCTTTAGTTCATATGAGCATATTCATAGAGCATCTGCACCAAAGAAAAATTCCTTGTGTGTTCAATCACACTTGGCCAATAAAGAATTCTATTGTATTCTATTCTATTCTATTCCATTCCGTTCTATTCTATTCTATGTCCATGTTTATATTTATACCTGCTATTTTGTACATGTTTGACAAACTAATAAATATAGATACAATTTCCCCAATTTGCATGCTGGCTAGAGAATTCTGGGAGTTGAAGTCCACACCTCTTAAAATTGCCAAGTTTTTAAAATATTGGGATAAATCAAGGCTGCGCAAAAAAGGGTTACGGTACCTTTGCTATGATCCATGCATTTTTCCTTGTTGCCATCTCTTGTAGTTGCATCACAAAGAAGACAAACTTTTTCTGAAAAATACCTGCGTAGTCTCAAGTTCCCCAGGATGGAAGAATGCAAGCGCACCGAAATATTCACTGACCTTCAATGCAACACCACCTTCCTATATCTGAAATGCTTCATGGTCCTCAGCCAGTCACAAAAACCCCTTATTGCTGTTCTGTGTTTCAGCGTGGGTGGGCTCTGCATCGTAGAGAACTTCTTGGTACTGTTCCTCATCTTTTCTTCCTCAAAGCTCCGGAAGAAACCTTCTTACATCCTTCTCAGCAGCTTGGCCTTGGCAGACTCACTGGCGACCGTGACGTTTGTGAGCAGCTTCCTTAACTTCCATGTTTATAACATGAAAAGTGCTTCCAAGGAGATATACTTGCTGAAGCTTACTGGAGTCAACACCTCCTTCACAGCTTCCCTTGGCAGCCTGTTCCTGATGGCATTTGACAGGTACATCTGTATCCTCCGACCCAGCCACTACAAGCGGTTGGTCACCAGAAGAAGAGCTGTGGTGGCTCTGTTAGTGCTGTGGGTGGCTGCCCTCTTCCTATCCTCCTTGCCTCTTCTGGGATGGAACTGCTGTACTCTCCAGTCTACCTGCTCCCAGCTGTTTCCGTTTGTGACTAACAGCTACCTCTCAAGCTGGATTATCTTGGTGATGGTCCTCCTGGCTTCCATCATTTATGCATACATGCACGTCCTTTGGAAGGCTCACCAACACACCGAGAACATGAAGAAGCACCATCTGGAAGAACTCCAACAAAACCCAAAGAGGAGACTTGACATCAAGCTGGCCAAGACTCTATCAATTGTCCTGATGGTTCTGGCGATATGTTGGTTACCGGGCTTGTTACTCATGGCCTACAGCCTCTTTTCAGTCATGGACAAGTTTACCAGGGTAGCCTTTGCCTTTTGCATCACCCTCTGCCTGGTGAACTCAATGGTGAACCCAGCTATCTACGCCCTACGGAGCAAGGAGCTAAGCTCTTCCCTCAGGAGAATCTGCTGCTCTTGTTTGGGGAGGGTGTTGGGCAATTCAGAGACTAACCAGGAAGCAGAAAGCTCTTAAAAGTACATCCCGGTTGGAAGTTAACCCCCATGTTCCTAGGCATCAACATGGGGATGTTCCTCCATTTGGAAGCAACTCATAGCAATGTCATCTCTCCAGCTATCTTTGAACTCTAATTCCCAGCATTCTTCACTATGGACTTTGGGAATCCCACATCAGCTATATCCAGAAGGGCGCAGGTTCCTTCTTGTTCTCTAAAGTCTTGTTGGAAGAAATGTCCTTCTGGGTTCAGTTCCAAGTGGGGAAAAGACACTGGAAACATGGAGGCTGGTTGGAAAGATGATTTTAATGGTGGACAGGATCACCTGGTTTGAGGTCCTGGGGAAAAGGGGGATGATCACATGCTTCAAGATGTTGGGTGAAGAAGAAAAAGGGGCAGAGATGCTGAAAGTCCCTGGTTTTATGCCCTCTTTGGCCTTTGATCTTGATCTTGCATTCTGATTGGTTGCCAGACTCCCATAGGGCCATTCAAGGGCAACTCTGTAGGCTGTGCATTGAGTCCAAGTTTGGTTGCCTTGCTGGCTGATATAATCTTCCCAGGTGAGTTTCTGTAGAAGGCTAATCCTACGTTTGTTATGTAGAATAGACTGGCCCAGGCATTTAATGGCCCATTGACAAAGGTGGGGGCTATTAAGAGTCTGTTTCCTGCCTAAAAACACATTTCTCTATTTCTTATCCATGGAAATATAATATTCTGCCTTTTAAATATTTCCCATGATATTTCATTCTTGTAGGAGAGGGGTGGGTGCTAACTTCCTAGAGTCTAAAGGGATACGCTTCCTTCTGCTATAGGACATGTGTTAAGCTATTGATATTTAAGAGCTGATCAGCTGTAAAGCTGGCAACTGTAAAATGAAAGCACAGATGATATAGATATAGAGAGACCTGAAACAGTAAGGTAGGCACATATACCGTTAAGGAGTTCTGAGAGGAGTAATAAAGACATTCCTCCTGAACTGCAAGTGAGGTCAGAGCATACAGTGTCAAGTATGAAACCCAAAATTACCAGGAAATGTTGTCATTGCCCAGAATAGAACAAGACAAATGTAAAAGATGCTGTGCCCATGTTTGAACATAATGCTGCATGTACAACAATGGTGACAAGAGATTGCGCTGGAAGTAGAAGCAAACATGTAAGTATTAAATATGATAATGTTAAGAGAAGCTGTAAAGGAGCAACTGATCTAGCATTGTTCTAGCGATTGTAATATATAGCTGCTATGTTAACAAAGCCTGTATCTGTGGAAAGGTATAAGGACTATGTTAAAACGTTCGAATTATCAGCTGTTCAGCTTTTAATGGGAGGAGTGTTAAGGTATTGAGATTTAAGAGCTCACCAGCTGTAAAGCTGATGAAATGTACAGCTGATGAATCAGCATTGGTATAGCCCAATGATGGCAACTTTTTTCTAAAGGCATGCCAAAATTGTGTGTGTGCCTGCTATCACGCATGTGCGTGTGACCAATCAACCTGCACATGCTTGTGCGACCCTATCCCACCCTGTGCGGGGGAGAGTTTTCATCCTCCTCAGGCTCCTTTCCTGAAGCCTGGGGAGGGAGGGCGAAAACAGCCTCCCCAGCCCCCCCTCCAGAGGCTCTCCGGAAGGCTGAAAATCCGCTGGCGGGCGCACGCATGTGTGCCAGAGCTAAAGGCTACCGTGCCAGCAATTATGGCTCCATGTGCCACTTTGGCATGCATGTCATAGATTTGCCATCATGGGTATAGCCAGTTGAAGACTATGAAGGGGTCCACAAAAGCCTTTACCCCTTTAGAAGGTGTTTATATAAGGCAGTTAGGAGAGGGCGTGTTTCTCTCCCCTTGTGTCCGGTATCCATTGCTAAGTTCTCTGTGTAGAGTTAAGAAGAAGATTGATTACTGGTCAGGTATTTGCTACCACGTATATTTCTGTGTATATTGTATATAAACCACTGTTAAATGTCTAAGGCTCTGTGTGCTGTGTTTTGCTCCTGGGTTGTCTCCTAATAGTAGTCATGCTGCAAGCCAATGGTAAAATTCAATTTTTTTACTACCGGTTCTGTGGATGTGGCTTGGTGGGGGTGGCAGGGGAAGGATACTGCAAAATCCCCATTTCCTCCCCACTCTGGGGCCAGCCAGAGGTGGTATTTGCCGTTTTTCTGAACTACTCAAAATTTCCACTACCGGTTCTCCAGAACCGGTCAGAACCTGCTGGATTTCACCCCTGCTGCAAACGCTCTGACAATATGTGAGCCTTAAGATGCTTTGGGGAGAGGGGTTTAAGGAGGGGACAAAGGGAGACATAAGCATTTCCAAAGTTTAAGGTGCCTATTTTGCCTTTCAACTGCCTGCTTTTAAAACCACCCCAAATACAAAAAGCAAAAAGCTTGGCCCCCACCCCATCACAGTGGGGCTCTTTGGGGTCATCCAAGGGATTTTGGATCACACTTCTTGTACTTCCATTCCTCAGGCAAAAGTTATGCTCTGAGATCAAACATTCCCCAAAGTTACACTTGGGGGGAAAACTCCGGGGGAGATCAATAGGTTGCCAGAACAACATGTACTAGAACAACTTAATTAATACCTAGTAATAATCTGACTCGCATCCAGTTCCTAGAGTTTTGGTTTTTTTAAAAACCCTGAGAGCTATCAGCAATAATTAAAATCAAGAGATTCCCTGCGGCACAATGGTCTTATAATAATTTAGCCATTAAGTAATTTAATTAATTTGGGAGAGTCTGTGATAGGAAGACAGATCAGGAGAAATGTAACAATACTTTTTTCCAAATAACATATTGCTTAGAACCGGTAGGAACCCACCTCTGATGTGTGTGTGTGTGTGTGTGTGTGTGTGTGTGTGTGATTTATCTGTCGAGAGAGGGGGGAGGGAAGGAGGGAGGGAGGGGGAGAGAGAGAGAGAGAGAGGGAGAGAGGGGGGGGGAGAGAGATGTGCGCAGATGCTCTTCATGGCAGAAACCAAAATTAATTTAACCTAATCCCATTAAAACACGTTTACTTAATTTACAGAGACCAAACAAAAAGACAGACTCTCCCTACTTAACAAGAACATGAAAAACAAGGAACTCGAAGGACCTGCAAAATAAGTCCTGTAACATTAAAAATGATTAGGTGTTCCAGATCTGGGATCTCTTCCAGCAACAAAAGTAATCCCAGCCAGTCCCCATGGGGAGAATAGGATGCAAAAATATATGCAAAGCCAAGTAATACATTCCATTCAGAAAATGTTTGGCACATCCCCCCATCTGACTCAGTGGCCCCCTTAATATATTGCAATCTCTGCTTAGTTCTTTTCCTGCCCTGCCCCACTATATGGCCACATTAGGAGAGCCCCCCCCCCCTAATGTGGCAAAGGGTTGCTCTGAGCCCAACACACCTCACAGGGTTCTTTATTTGATTTACATAAGCATGGGATCCCTTCGTCCCACTTACCCATTGTTTCGTTAATTATTTTTATGATTTATTGGTTTTATTGCAATTTCTTCCTCTGGTGATTGTTAGCTGTTCAGAACTGTGAGATTAGGAAGGGGGGGACACAGCATAGAAGCTTAATAATTGTTCATACAGACAATCCTCAATGTAGGACCCAGAAATTGAGCCCCAATTTTCCATTACTAAGTGAAGCTTTTGTTAAGTGAGTTTTGCCCCCATTTTATCACCTTTCTTGCTACAGTCGTTAAGCGAATCACTGCCAAAATTAACAACACGGTTGTTCAGTGAATCCGGCTTCCCCATTGACTTTGTTTGTCATGAGGTCGCAAAAGGGGATGACACACAGGACCCTGGGACAGTGCAACCATCATAAGTATGCATCAGTTGTTGAGCATCTGAATTTTGATCAGAATCAATCCTGCAACGGCCGTGCATGTGAAAAAAGGGCCGTAAGTCACCTTTTTTCCCAGGTTAATTTTCAACGGTCACTAAGTGAATTGTCTCCTGTACAGAATTGTTGTAAGTTGAGGAATCTCTTAAACATTCTCCTCCTCATGCTGTAGCCTCGGAGATAAGCAGATTCTACTTCAGAGGCGCCCTGAGAATGGCCTACTTCGCGGGGCCATTCAGGAATGGTGGAGGCGGCTTCTTGGATGAGAAGCAAAATGCTTCAAGGAACAGACTGAAAGTCCAATTGCCTTTTGAAAAAAGCACTTTTGGGGACAATACTGACTGATCACCACACAGGAATAGCTTTTTCCCAAATGCCTTATTTCCTTGGAAACCTTAGAAGTTCTAGGCAGAATTTGGAAGATGCGGACTTTTTTTTTTAAAAAAAGAGGAAGCTTCTACGTAGAACATTTGGGATGGATAACGTAATTGTGGAACGACAAAATGTGAAAGGCTGCCACCCTCATTTGGTACTTAAACTCTGTAGTGTCTTCCTATAATTGAAAAAAAATGGTTTGGGGTTAGTGATTGAGCACACACACACACCCCGCCAAAAGTTGTCCAATGTCCTTTATTACATACAGCTAGTAGTCTTTGATTTACAACCATCCATTTAGTGGCCATTCAAAATTACAATGAGACTGAAAAAAGTAATTTACAATCAGAGTTACCTAATGGAACAGCTAGCTCGCCTTCAGAAGTGGTGGGAGCTTCATCCCTGGAAGCTTTTAAGAAGAGACTGGACTGCCATCTGTCAGAAATGATGTACGGTCTCCTGCTTGAGTGGGGGTTGGACTAGATGACCTACAAGATCCCTTTCCAACTCTGTTCATCTGCATTTGCCATTGCATCACATGGTCCTCCCCGGCGCGCCCCTCCTTCCCCGCCCGCGCAGTCGCTCTCCTATTGGCCAGGCAGTGGCCAATGGCGGTGGGCGTGGCCACCGAGCGGGCGCGATGGCTGCCGAAAGGCTTCGGCTGCTGCCGCCGCCGCTGCTGCTGCTGCTCTTCTTCTCTTGCAGCGGGGCTTTAACGCGGAACTCCGCGGGGCCGCGCTACTCCCCCGAGTGGCCCAGCCTGGATGCGCGCCCCCTGCCTGGGTGGTTCGACGCGGCCAAGGTCGGGGTCTTCGTGCACTGGGGGGTCTTCTCGGTGCCCGCCTGGGGCTCGGAGTGGTTCTGGTGGCACTGGAAGGGCGAGCTCCAGCCCGACTACGAGAACTTCGTCCGCCGGCACTTCCCTCCGGGCACCTCCTACGCCGACTTCGCCCCGCGCTTCTCCGCCGTCGACTTCCAGCCAGAGGAGTGGGCGCAGCTCTTCCAGGACGCCGGGGCCAGGTCAGCCCCCAACCCCCCGCCAGCCCCTGGGGTAGTAGCCGGTGCCTGCCCCGAGCCGGATCCCACATCCCATCATTCCCGGCCGCGGGATCCTCGGGGGACTGAGGGATAGGAGAGGGAATCATCCCAACGCCTGCCGCAGACGATATCGCTGCTGCTGCTGTTGTTATATTTAGTTTCTGGTCTAAAAATAAGGCTTCAAAGTCCCAAAGAAAAAAGAACAAGAGCAACCAATAACATAGCCTATTTAGCTATATTTAACATAGGATGCTTGAGGAAATGGAGGCCTTTGAACTCTGGTGCTGGAGAAGACTCCTGCAAGTCCCTTGGACTGCAAGGCAATCCTAGAGGAGATCAACCCTGACTGCTCTTTAGAAGGCCAAATCCTGAGGAGGAAACTCAAATATTTTGGCCACCTAATGAGAAGGAAGGACTCCCTGGAAAAGAGCCTCATGCTGGGAAAGATTGAGGGCAAAAGAAGAAGGGGACGACAGAGAATGACGTGGCTGGATGGAGTCACCGAAGCATGAGCCTAAATAGACACCAGAGGATGGTAGAGGGCAGGAAGGCCTGGAGGAACATTGTTCATGGAGTTGCGATGGGTCAGACACAACTTTGCAACTAACAAGAACAACAACAAACATAGGCTGTGTTCCCAGGCTTGATACAGCTAGCTAACCAAGAGAGAGGGAGGGTGTCCCCACCAGTCTCGGGGAAACAAACAAATTATATATAAAGGTGATAGGTAGTAAAAATACCTGAAAACAAAATTGCAAGGAAATTGTTAAACCAGCAGGACGTGCAATGTGAGAAAGCTGTCAGAACAATGAGACAAAGATACAGAAAATGTTAATTTCAGATTCCTATAAACGCTAGTAAGAAAAAGCTACAAGACTGGAAAGCATTCCAATATCCCCATCGCTGTCCCAAGCCAGCTAGCAAAACCTTTTTGGAATGGCAGAAGAATGCAAACAGATCTCACCTCCTGCATTGGAATGTTCCAACAGGACAGAAATAGATATAATGATATAATAGCCGTAAAATAATATCTATTCCCAAGCATCAATGATTCTGTACAGAATAAGGTTTTGCAAAGGTCTCTAAATCTGTTGTAACTCAATAGGGTGGAGTACACCAGGCTAAAAACCCTCAGCATTCCATATTTTTGGTATATCCTTAATCATATTCAGGTTTTTAACTTATTTCTTTTCCCACATTCACCTTATAAATGCTAAACACTGGTGAAATGTCAAAAGAGGATGAATTTCCTTCTAATGTTTTGTTTTTGGTTCCTACAGGTATGTGGTGTTTACCTCTAAGCATCATGAAGGCTTCACCAACTGGGGGTCGGAAGCATCCTGGAATTGGAATTCAGTGGATACTGGTCCCCACCGTGACCTGGTTGGTGAATTGGGAGAGGCTGTCCGAAAAAGGTAGCTGTCCGATTTTAAAGGGGGAATCAGGTTGATGCAGAAAAAAAGCAGGTTTACTAATCAGCTAATCACTTTTATTTTGTTTAATCTTAGAAACATATCCTTTGGACTGTATCACTCCCTTTTTGAATGGTTTCATCCATTGTATTTACTGGACAAAAAAAATAGCTTCAAGAGCCAGTTTTTTGTCTCTGAGAAGACTCTTCCAGAACTCTATGAACTTGTTTTAAGGTAAGAGCTGAACATTTTTGGACTGTGAAATAGTAGAGAATATTCGTAGCTCAAGTTGTAGATTCCTCTTCTGTTTATATAGGTCAGTGATGCATGCATAACACACATACACACACCTGTGCGTATGTGCGCAGCCCCCCCCCCCCCCCGGGCTCTGGAAGCTTTTTTGAAGCCTGCGGAGGGCGAAAACCAGCCCAACGGCCCAACCGGAAGTTCGGGAACAAACTTCCAGTTGGCCCATTGTGCCTGTTTTTTGCCCTCTCCAGGCTCGGGAGGCTTTCCTGAAGCCTGGGAAACGTGAAAACAGCTTTCCCCGGCCCTTCAGAAGGCCGAAAACCAGTTGGTCGGCGCACAGGGCTGCCATGCCGGCAAATGTGGTTCTGCATGCCATAGGTTCGCCATCACAGATATAGGCCTTGTATGTTGTTGTGGTCAGTTGGCCATGTGACTGGTTATATGAATTCATCTACATCAACTGGCAGTCAAGCGGCATAACCAGAAGTCCCTCATCTCCAGCCATATCGACAATGAACACCACCAGTTTGATTGGGACAAAGCCAAAGTCGTTGGCCACGCCAAAACCCATCATGCACACAAATCCATTGAAGCCTATTACTCTACAAATGGATCCATCAATAAACACATTGATTTAGAACCAGCATAGGAACCTATAAGAAACCAGACTGTCCATACAACCAATCGATGACAGAACCATCCACCTCCTCACCAGCTGAATCTTGCGCCATGCAAACAACCAGTCACGCTACCCACTGACCACAACAACACACAAGACATATATAAATGGAAGTTGGGTGAAACAGCTCACCCAAAATCTCACTGAAGATTTTACTTACTCTACTAACCAAGTGTCCAGGAGCTAAACTGCAAGCCCGAACAAGCCAAAATTTTTGGACTGTCTAGATGGTATTCCTCTGGGCTGAGAAAATTTACAAACCCCAGTCCTTCTTCCTCTCCTCTATCAGCTCTGCTCTAGAAATGCTTTCTCAAAAAGTAGAGCTAGTTTTGCTATTCCTAAATAAGTGTTCTATGGATTGCTGTCTTAACCTTCACCATATGCTGGGCTCCTTTGGGAGGTGTGAGAGCAATTCCCTTCAATTTCTTATTCCAGACTTTTGGAGCTTGAGAGAGAAGGGTTGAGGCAGTTTCTAAACTAGAAGTTCTTGTACATATAATGTACAAATATTATATAATGTACAAATATAAACTGGTCCATTTCATTAATTAATTACAAAGTCATCCTGGAGAAGACTAATCTTAGCAGGATGATCAGTCATAAAAATATCCCTATAAAAACACAGGGAAACCACAAGCAACCACAAGTAATAAATCTTATTTTAGGATCAGAGGTTTATTGTTTCATGAACAATTTTGAACATGAAGAGCAAACATAGCATTACTTAGATTAGCAACTTATTGCAATAAGCTCCACTGACATAGCTGAGTCCAGCAAGGATTAGCTACAGCCAGTGTGGCCCTGAACTCTTCCCAAGACATTCTTTTTTATACTTTTCTGCACGCATTTCACAACTTACTTCCTTGTTCTGTCTTACTTTCTTGCTGTCACTGACCGTCACTCTCTGCAAACACCCATTTGAAGTTCTCAGACCCTCGTTTCCTTCAGTTCCTCATTTCCCACCATCTCATTCTTCCTGTTCTAAATATATCCATATCAAGTACAAACTTTGCAGAAAATGCAGACACAAGTCAGTACATTAGAAATATTACTCCAGTACCTTTTGCAATTACTGTATTTTTCAGAGTATAAGATGCACCTTTTTTCCTCAGAAAAGAGGCTGAAAATCTGGGTGCATCTTATACATTGAATACAGCATTTTTTGCCTCCCGAAGCCACGCCCCTTCACCAAAATGGAGGCTTTCAGAGAGTTGCTGGGGAGGGCAGAAATGAGCAAAAAAGGGCTGTCTCCCCCCCCCCCAGCTGTCAGCATCATTCTATAAGCCACCATAAGACTATGCATGCATTTTTTTAACAAAAAATGGGCCTGTTTTCGCAAAAAATGGGGTGGTTTTTTGATTGTTCCCCCCCCCCCAACCAACTCTCTGAAAGCCTCCATTTTGGTGAAGGGGCGTGGCTTCGGGAGGCAAAAAATGCTGTATTCAATGTATAAGATGCACCCAGATTTTCAGCCTCTTTTCTGAGGAAAAAA